AGCAAGAACAATAAAGAACAAAGAAAAAAGAAAAAAGAACAAGGAGAAAAGAGCAAGAAGAAGAAAAGTACAACAAGAAAAAGAACAAAAAAGAATAAGAACAAAAACAAGAAAGAAAAAAGAACAAGGAGAAAAGAGCAAGAAGAAGAAAAGTACAACAAGAAAAAGAACAAAAAAGAATAAGAACAAAAACAAGAAAGAAAAAAGAACAAGGAGAAAAGAGCAAGAAGAAGAAAAGTACAACAAGAAAAAGAACAAAAAAGAATAAGAACAAAAACAAGAAAGAAAAAAGAACAAGAAAGAAATAAGAACATGAAGAAGAAAGAAACCAGAACAATAAAAAGAAGAATGTTAGAGCTGATGGTGGATCTCTTTAAAGACAAACTCAGCAGCACCTTATGATTCACTTTACGTGATAAAATCCAAACTAATCAGGCGTTTATATTTATAAGAATTAAAATGAACACTTCATTCTAAGACTGCAGGATAACAGGGAMACCTGTGATGTGACAACAGACAACAGAGCTGAACTCTGGGAAAACAAAATGACTGGTGATGAATCAGTGTTGATGTCTCTCACAGGTCAACACCTTCAGATGTTACCTGTACAATAAACCTCAAAAACACAGAATCTCCACTAAAAAACATCCTGTAACATCTGCTCTTTTATCATCAGGAGGTTCAAACTGATYCAGCTGTTCGCTGCAGTTTCTCACAACATTTAGATATGTTGCAATAAATAAGTGAGGAAACACTAACAGCTCTGCACAATGTGAGTAATTAAAACCATTTCCTCTTTTTCAATTAGGTTTCTTTTTGTTTTGGAGCCAGTGAAGCGTGCATATAAACCTTTTGAGTTTAGAAGTGTAAAGAAATCAACGTTTTGCTGAGTCGGCATGAAAAACTTCCAAACAARCAGAAGCTTGTTCACATTTTTACATGATTTGAAGCAACATTAAAACCCTTTCTGTGCAGTTTATCCTCCTCTGCGGTCGCAACGTGAACTCGTCTCGTGTCTGTTTCCTGTCTGACGAGTCGCCACTAAAGGACACTTTCACATTCATGTGGTCACGAGACAAACTGCCCACATCTGAGCTGCGTCATCAACACCACGTCAAACATTATTCTGTTGAACTATCCTGAATCCTGCAGGATTAAAGGCCTTCAGCCCCTCTGATTAACACACTTAGTTAGTTAGTTTCAAACATGTATACAAAACCAAAAATGATAAAAAGTGATAACAAAATTAACATACAGTATTTGAAAAGGAATGGGAAGAAGTCAAAAACTTATTTAATCCCACCTTTCTCCGAAGCTTATTAACAAAAAAAAAAATAGTAAATTCTTCTTTTTAATATCTGCAGTCAATTTTACATTTATTTTTAACACCCTCCAAAATTAAAATGAGCATAGAACAAAGATTTGGAACCCAAGACGATAAAACTGGTAGGGCCACTATTTTTCTAGGGGTGGGAGCATTGCCCCTCCTGGCCACCCCCACTTGCACCGCCCCTGTTGATTGACAGGTTTTGTTCTACTGAGGAAATGACAGTTTGAGCCGCAGCACTGCACGTTATGCCAGAGACAGAGATTTAGATTGTGTGGTTCTAGGAGAGACAAGATTTGTATCTGATTTGTGATCAAAGCACCACAGAGATATGTCC